AGAACAAAAGCGCGTGTCGCGAATGTTCGTATGATATTAGGGACAAAAGCATGGGTATGTATGGTCAGGTACCTAAGGCTAACGCTATGTTGGACTAACTTAGCTTAGGTTAGGGCTGGGTGGGCTGCCTAGGTCGGGTTAGGTCAATTCAGCTTAGGCTGGGTGTATAAGAGACACGAACTAAGTGTAATGTGACATACTTTACCGTTTACATATAATTGCGTAAGACCATTTCCGTACGTATTTTTTTCCTGCTTCGTGACATGCACTTTTGAACTCAAATCGTGTAAGCTGCCCTAACAGACTTACCTATCGTTGGTTCATAAGCTCTATTCCAATCAGCATATTCGCGGGTTCACTGAAGAAAATAATTGATGTCCACGGAATCGCTAAGAACTCCACGGACCCCTGCAACGTAACGGCGAGGGTAAACCCTCGCCCCGTAGGGGGGCGAAACAGCCCCCCTGTCCTTTTCGGTCGATATCCCCTAAGCGGCTGGAGATATCGCCACCAAACTTTCAGAACCCCTCTGGGCATCAATTTTACACATTGTAACCAATTTTTTCCCAGAGGCCATGATAGATTGGCCACAAATGACGTCAGAATGACGTCATGTTCTACCATTTTCGACCGAAAAAAAGACCTTCAGGAGAAGAGCTGTCAGGCCTACAGATTTGAAGATAGAGAAAATTATCAAGACATCAAAGGTGTAGAATTGACAAAACTACAAAACCGCTATCTCTAATTTTTGAAATTTTTGAATTTTGACCCCCCAAAAATAAAAAAATGCATTTTTTTGGAAATATTAGCCAAACAATCCCAAAAGTTTTTTGAGTTAAAAAAACGATTATTTGTGATAGTACCTACCGTCTTCTGTCTATATACCAAATTTCAGATCGATATATCGTTTTTTGACCAAGCTATAGCGAAAAAACTGTTCAAAAATGATGACGTCACATTTCCAAACTCAATTTTTGGCCATTCTAGACCACGTAGGGCAAAACCAAGACCACCATTGGACTCCCCGTGACGAACTGCATCGAATGGATACCCATTTTATGCAAAAATATCAACTTTGAAATTTGACCTAATTTGACCTGAACTTGACCTGACCTTGACCAAAACGTGACCTAAGCTGGCCCCAAAGGCTGCCTGACCCACATAATCGCATTTGTCATGTAAAATGGACCATAAAACATGTATCACACGACACTTTTATATTGTGACCCCCAGTGACCTGACCTCTGTGACCTGACCTGGTATCAGTGACCTGAGATAGCAAAGTATGTGTTTGACGAACAATATACCATCGATGGTTTTCGATAACTTACCAATTTACTCGATTTCACAGCGTATTTCTTGAAATGCCTGTGAACGGTGAAAATCTGACCTTTGACCTGAACTTTGACGTCATCGGTTTGACCTATGTCAATGAAATTTGGTCACAAGGTAGTTTCCCGGTGGGGCTATCGAACGCCGTTTGAATTTTAAAAATCAACCGGTAAATTTCCGAGATCTTAGGGGGGCGTTTCTGCCCCCCCTCAATGCCAAATTGCCCCCCCCCCCCTGAAGGGCAATTTGCCCCCCCCCCCCCTCCTGTGGTTTTTCCTGAATAACAAGAAAACGGTGGCGCGCAGCTCCGCCAAATTTTCAGTACCTTACCAAGCATCAACTTGACACCTACTTACAAAATTTCAAGTCTTAGGTCACTTTAGGTCAGGAGTTATTGAGGTCAAACTGAGGTCATGTTCGAGCAAAAATGAGCAAAAAACATGAAATCTTGAAAGGCTCACAAAAGTTACAGTTACTAAGCAATTTCAAAGTTCTTTATATGGTCATGTAGAAAGACGGCGCTACAAAACTGCTATCTGGGATTTTCAAAATTTTGGGATTTTGACCCCCAAAAACCAAAAAAATATTTATTAAAAACGCAAAAAATCCAAAAGTTTTTTGAATATCAAAAAACCGGAATACATAAGATAGTCCCTGCGCTATTCTATCTACATAGGTACCAATTTTTAGATCGATACCGCTTTTGTTGGCCAAGCTATAGCGAAAAAAACTGTTCAAATTGATGACGTCAAATTTTTGAACTCAATTTTTGGCAATTCTAGAATACGTAGCGCAAAACAGAGACCACCATTGAAATTCCCGTGGCAAGCTGCATCGAATTTTATGCAAAAATATCAACTTTGAAATTTGGCCTAATTTGACCTTACCTTGACCTGACCTTGACCTGACCTTGACCTGACCTTGACCAGAACATAATCTAACTGACCCCAAAGGCTGCCTGACCCACATAATCGCATTTGGCATATAAAATGGACCATAAAACATGCATCACATGATGTTTTCATATTGTGACCCTCAGTGACCTGACCTCTGTGACCTGATCTGGTATCAGTGACCTCAAGTAGCAAAATATGTGTTTGAAGAACAATACCCCATCGATGATTTTCAATGAAATGCACTTTACTCGATTTGACAACTCATTTCTTGGAATGCCTGTAAACGGTGAAAATTCGACCTTTGACCTGACCTGCGACGTCATTGAATTGACCTAGGTCAATGAAATCGGGTCACAATTTATTTCCCTGTTAGGGCTATCTAACGCCGTTTGCTGCTTGTCGCTATGTTGCGTGGTTCTCGAGATCTTAGGGGGGGGGGGGAAATTGGCCCCCCCAGCAGGGCGCGTTGCTCGGCAGACCCTAACGGGGCGCGGGTTAAATATGTGTCACACGTATCTCATTCAATTGTTCGTCTTTGGTGACCTGAACTGATCTGATCCTCACCTTGACCGTTGCATGACATTCTATGCAACGAATAATCTTGTCTTCGCAGTAGCCTAATAAGGCGTTATGTGTAATGAGTCCAAATTCATTCTTTGCAACTGGACTCCAAAGCTAATGATGTAGAAAATTGTAGATTATACTTTTGACCTGACCTGTGACCATGTGCTCCAAAGCTCCGTTTGGTCTAGACCTTTTAATTGCCGTTTTCATCGTCTCTCTACAACCATCCGTTTGGAATCCCCCACCCCATTCGGGGAGGGGGGAGTTCGGGGGGAGGGCGCGTTCGGCTGAACAGTCCAGCGTGGCGCGGATTAATTAATTAAGCGTTTCAAAGAGAGTCGAAAGGTACAGCACTTCTTACTAGCTGGCATGTAGCTTATCCTTGAACTGTGGCAGCCGGCCTAAGCCTCAGGAATTTCCATCACCTCAGATAGCTAGAAGTGCGCCGAGCTCGCCAGAGCAATGTTCGCGAATTTCATGAGAGGAATAGCAAAGGGGATTTATTGAATAACGCTTGTCTGGCTCAACTATAGGGCTTATTTCGTAGCATCAGCAGAGAGCATGGCACCAATTTGATTGATATTCCCAAGTCACGACGTTCCCATTCTCGTTAGCGGTTAGCGGCGGCTGGAGACGTATTAGAGCCGTCATCTGATGACCTTTATCCCGCGTTGTGCAACAGCGGCTGCAGCAGGCCAACACACGTCTCTGCATGGAGAACCTGTCCGGCACCGGCCGCCCCTGGAACTGGTCCCGGCCGAGGACATATAAATGTCTCACACCAGCAGACTGGGTCAAAGTGCACCCAGCGGCGGCGTCTTCAGTTGGCTTCACTCATTCCACGGCAGCATGTGAGTCGCGCATCATAGAGTACATACTGAGGCAGAGGCCTGGCGCGAATATTGTGTGACACCATGACTAGCAATGTCATATTCACTTATTCCACCAGCATGTGAGTCGCGCATCATAGAGTACATACTGAGGCCTGGCGTGAATATTGACCAGACACCATGACCAGACAACTCATATACATATACTCTATGAGGCTGCATAATGTTTATTTTTTGGAGTGGCAGGCCAATCAAAATAATTGGAAGCATGTGTTTTTGGTCGAGTTGTCGGTGCATAAAAACACATGTTCAGTGGATAATGGGACACCATGTGAGTTTGCCAATCCGCAACGTTTTAAGGGGCAAGAAAGGCAGACCAGTCCCGGTTTTCCAGCTGTAAGCATAATGTCTTATTGCATTGATGACCAATTGGAGGACCTCCTCATGACGAGGTTGTATCCATCAGGGTGCCAACGTGCGAGTCTTTGGTACCGATGCTGTTCCGAATCTGTTTTGGCTGGCAAATGACTGATGAATGCATCTGGTGTTGTGCGTGGCCCATCTCGCAGTGTACTGAGACACCTGTTAGGCACAGCACACCGTCGTCCGCCTTCAGATAGGCACAGATTTGATCCTGCGGCAAAAACATCACGAATGAGCCGCTCAGGGATGCACATCACCTCGGGACACTGTGCACCAGATGACCTTGACCTACACCAGCTGACTGCGCTCTAACCAGCTGACTGCGGTCTGCTGATCAGCTGACTGCGGTCTGCTGATCAGCTGTCTGCGGTCTGCTGACCAGCTGACTATGGTCCGACAGGCTGACTGCGGTCCCATCACCTGACTGCGGTCTGACCAGCTGACTGCGGTCTGACCAGCTGATTGAGGTGACTGCGGTCCGCTGACCAGCTGAATCATCCCTCAGGTCCCCGATCTGGCTGGCAGTGGCTCTGATGGCGACCTCCCTCGTCGGGTCGGCCAGCGGGACGGCCTTTTCGGTCGGACACGCTAACGCGGTTGGCATTAATGGTTCGTATTATAGTTATAAATTTTTAATGAAAACTTGTAACATAGATCTGACTTGGGTAAGTATTAGTGCAGTATGACCGCTAATAGCTTTTTCATATAACGAACCTACAACTTACCTTGAAATGTGCATTATTTAGCATTCCTGAGTTAGTTAAATGTCGATTAGGACGTTCCTCACGAACATTTTATTTTTGATGATGATAATAAAAGTATGATAATGACGATCGTTTATTGTTGTAACAATAACTATTTTTATACTTGCTGTTATAACTAATTCATTTCTGAAATCCTTATTATATTTCCATGCCATTCCGTAGGTATCACTGTCTCCCTCCCGCCAGGTGCCCTTCGCTTCAGCAACGTGATGGCGGACGACGCGCGCGGCTGGCGCTACAACCGCGCCTGGTACGAGGTGCGCCGCTCGGGCCTCTACTACCTCACCTTCCACGGCCTCTCGCGGCCCGAGCGGACGCTGACGTAAGGCCACCAGCGAGCGAGACAGGCGAGCTGACAACAGGGCGCCAGTGTTTAGCGCACCTGCAGCTAGAAATGGTGTTAATGCGCTTACTCTCTTTCAGTGTTCGCCACGGGCCGCAAAATCCCAGTCCAACCCAGCCCAGGCCCGCGGGTTCACAGCCCAGCCCGAGCCCATTCATGATAAAAGCGTCAAAGCCCAGCCCGGCCCAGCCCGTCAAAAATGAATGGACTAAAAATTATTGACACCACACAGGTAGGTATCCAAAGGTAGCAAAGAAACAATCTTTGCGAGCAGCATGCACAATGCACATTGCATGCGTGCTTTATTAACCCGTTTCTGAGTCTTGCACTGTAATTAAGCTATGTAGTTATAGTTTTTGTCTCGGTTGCGAACCCCTGACTCCACTTGACTTGACAGGTCTTGGCCCAGCCCATCCACAGCCCATCGATCCTTCATATTTGAGGGCCCAGCCCAGCCCGTAGCCCAGCCCAGCCCATAGCCCACTGGGCTGGCCCGGCCCATGGCGAACACTGCTCTCTTTATAATAAGCAAAAAGAAGAAGCTAACATAGGCGGCGGAACGGGGAGGGCACCGGGGCACCGTGCCCCACTTTGATTTAGGCATTTTAACCTTAGCCCTATATGGGTGTTGCATGGAAAGAATGGGACCAAAAGTCGGCAGTGCCCCCCCCCCCTTAATGGAAGGTGTTCCGCCGCTACTGGAAGCTAATGCTTTATAATTAACCCGCGCCCCGTAGGGGGGGGCCGAAACGGCCCCCCCTGTCCTTTTCGGTCGATATCTCCTAAACGGCTGGAGATATCGCCACCAAACTTTCAGGACCCCTCCGGGCATCAATTTTACACATTGTGACCAAAAATTTTCCAGAGGCTATGATAGGTTGGCCACAAATGACGTCAGAGTGACGTCATGTTCTGTCATTTTCGACCGAAAAAAGACCTTCGCGAGAAGACCTGTCAGGACTACAGCTTTGAAGATACAGAAAAATGATCAAGACATAAAAGGTGTAGAATTGACAGGGCTACAAAACTGCTATCTCGAATTTTTAAAATTTTTGAGTTTTGACCCCCAAAAATCAAAAAAGCATTTTTTTGGATATATTCGCCAAAAAATCCAAAAAGTTTTTTGAGTTTCGAAAAAAACCGGAATATATGTGATAGTGCCTACCGTCTTCTATCTACATACCAAATTTCAGATCGATACCTCGTTTTTTGGCCAAGTTATAGCGAAAAAAACTGTTCAAAAATGATGACGTCAAATTTTCAAACTCAATTTTTGGCAATTCTAGAACTTGTAGAGCAAAACGAAGACCATCATTAGACTCCCCGTGACGAGCTGCATCGAATCGATACCCATTTTATGCAAAAATATCAACTTTGAAATTTGACCTAATTTGACCTGACCTTGACCTGACCTTCACAAAAACGTGACCTAGGCTGGCCCCAAAGGCTGCCTAACCCACATAATCGCATTTGTCATGTAAAATGGACCATAAAACATGTATCACACGACACATTCATATTGTGACCCCCGGTGACCTGACCTCGCTGTGACCTGACCTGGTATCAGTGACCTCAGATAGCAAAGTATGTGTTTGACGAACAATGTACCATCGATGGTTTCAATGAATAACCAATTTACTCGCTTTCACAGCACATTTCTTGAATTGCCTGTGAACGGTGAAAATCTGACCTTTGACCTGACCTGTGACGTCATCGGTTTTGACCTAGGTTAATGAAATTTGGTCACAAGGTAGTTCCCGGGTGGGGCTATCGAACGCCGTTTGAATTTTGAAAATCGGCCGGTAACTTTCCGAGATCTTAGGGGGGGCCGAAACGCCCCCCCCCCCCCTACGGGTGGTAGGGTCCGCCGGTAGCCCTACGGGGCGCGGGTTAACAAATTACAACTCATATGCACGGGCCCAGTCGGCCTAAAGCGGTAGCTAAGCTGTAGGCATTCTCTTTAAGGTCGCCCCACACCGGACCTCGCATGCGGGTTGCGAGTTTGTGGGTTTTCGGGGTTTCTTCAAAGTTAAAGAATACATTCTAGGTTAAGTGACCCACACCGCCATCTAAAAAGCGATTCCGCAAATTTTTGACTTGCGAGCTATCTCGCCTCGCATTCCAAAAGTTGATTTTGAGTCAACTTTCGGTTTTCCTCGCTGCGAGGGCTGCGAGATTTGAGGTGTTTCGTTGGTGTCGGTTGAAGGCTCGTTTTGCTTTTATTGAGACAATACGTAATTTTCTGAAGGTGTATCGTCTTCACAGCATTCATGGATTGAGCATAAGAGAATAGTGTTCTCATTCCACGAATGAATGTAATAACCGCAAACCCGAAACCCGCAGACTCGCAACTCGCTTGCGAGGTCCAGAGTGGGGCGGCCTTTAGTTTAGAGGGAGTCCGGAACGTTTTCACTGCATTTCTGCTTCATAACCTCCGCCAGTGCATTGTGTTTATGACTAAATACATCACGAGCACTCATTCATTCATTCATTCATTCATTCATTCATTCATTCATTCATTCATTCATTCATTCATTCATTCGGTCTGTGAGGAAAATTGCAGTTCTAATGAGTTATTGCCTTAGGGAAGGGGGGGGGGGGGCACTGCCGACTTTTGGTCCCATTCTTTCCATGCAACGTCCATGGGGCAAATGGCAAAATCAATGAGGGCATGATGCCCCGGTGCCTCCCCCCCCCCGTTCCGCCGCCTATGTGTGATGCATTGTGACGAATCATGCGTCATATTTTCTTTTTCTCGCCTCTGTCTTTAGATTGGCCGTGTTTAGAAACAACGAGGAGCTGTTTACGGGGTACGGCAGTGGTTTGGACTACAGCACGGCGAGCAACGCGGGCATCGCCTACCTGAATCGCGGCGACCGTATCCAGCTGAGGGTAAGCCGCCGCCACGGGGACCGGGACGGAGCGAGGGGCTTTGACACCTGTCTTAACCCATTTATGCCCAGGAATATTGACCATCATGAAAATCGATGAAATCAAAATATGTTATGCTCCTACCACGGCCTTGCATGGAATCGAAAATAGTTTTTGCCTGCAGCAAAAGTTTTTCGAGAAAAACGTAAAAAACATGCGTTGCGAAATCGCAACGAAGGGCACACCGGGCGCCACCAGTGTTGCGAAAACGCAACGACGGGCTCATCAGACGGACATAAAGTACACTGAACTGCCGTATATGCTAATATGTTTTGACAAAACATCAATCAACTGTTGAAAACTATTGCTTGAAAATGCGGACCCCACATCCATCATGCTCTATAACCCGCCTAAGAGCCTCAGTGAGGAAGCATAACTTCATGATTCGCGAACGGGGAGATGGCAACACGGTCATTATCAACCATTTACGTTGTCCATTGTTGTCCATTTAAAGTTGTGGTCGACACGTATCCAGGGTGATGCTTTCTTTTTGGAAGCTAGACAGAGCCATTACCCCCACCTATCAGACCCCACACTGAATACAATTAAACGGAGGATTAGGAGTAAACCAGTGCCTCACGTATGCGCGTATATCCGCAATCATTGTTAACCACCCTCTTAGGAGTAAAGTTAAATTCCATTGCAGGTTAGTCGTGCCCACTCTCAGCAAAAAGAAAAAAGGACCGATCCGGCTCTCACAAATTACCCGCGTAAGGCGTAGCGCATCACAACAAATCGACTCCCAGTTTATCATGTTAACACCTAATCCAAAATTTTCATGGCCCCACTCTCAGCGACCTTCACGTGTAACCTCTTTCTCGAGACAATGCCAGGACAGAATGGTGATTCGACGTCAATCCGTCCTTTCCATCTTCAGGATAGTTGAATCCTTCTCCTCCACGCCTCAACCCCCTGTTCCGGGCGGGACAAAGGACGCGGGCAACTATATATATGTATATCGCAATCGGGCAGCTCACATAGGAGCGCGCCTGTAGCCGGGTGCAGTGAGTGCTTGGGAGGGGGAAGGGGGTGGGTCATGGGTGGCCTGCCCACTGGCTGGGCTCAGTCTCCAGTCTACGATTAGACAAATGTCTCCCCTAATTCCAATAATCCTGCTAGCTCTAAAATGGTCTGATTAGATAAAAAGCCTATCAAAGTAAGAAAACGAGCATATACTCCACATCAAGCAGCTTATCAATCTATGCAAGTTATGAATCCTAAAAAATATTATTTTCCCAGGTCCGCCCTCGTTACCCCCATGCCAAATGGCTCTGCTACCCCCAGAGGGGGCCTATCCCACTATTTGCCGACCCTCAGTTATCTTTTCTAACGTAAAGGTTGGTAGTCAGCAGATTGTATCCAGAGAATGGCGATGCCTATCTGTCGCGTGATACCAGACTACATCCCCGTTATTCATTATATATGCACAATGTACATAGTAGATCCAATTTCCAAAGAACCTATGTATGTATGTATGTATGTATGTATTGACACCAAAAGCCTTCCACATATGGCGTGGCGATTACGGCTTAGATCCGAGTATAATGGGTAACAATCATGCGGGCAGGGGGAAGAACACTCAGCACTAGACGACAGTCATCCATCGATGGGGGTCGCGACAATAATCATATACATATGTACACAAGACAAACAATATATATATACATAAGCACAAACAGATCGTCCACCAATTGGCGGCATGCCCTGCCTACTACTAAACAGACTCGTCAGCGGCGTAGCGGGGATTTGTTAATCAGCGCGGCCCTGGCAGACCGGGCGAAGCTGGCAGGTGGCAGCTGCACTACCTGGGGTGGGAGGCTATTCAATAGCGCCGCGGCACGGTACTCAAAACGCCGTTTTCCAGTTTCAAGCCTCGGTCGGGGAAGATGAAGGAGATGATCCTGCCGTGTGTGCCTGTCTCGAAAATTTTGGTTAGGGACGAACAGTGCAGCGAGGTTCTCGGGCTCTTCATGCTTAATGACCTTTTGCGCGATCGTGAGTGTCAGGTAATCTGACATGGATTTTGGTGATAGCCAGCCAAGTCTGTCACGCAGGTCCGAGACGTGGTCAAACTTATGCCGTCCGAAGATCACTCTAGCGGCAAAGTTCAAAATTTTCTGGAGACGGTCAAAATTTTTCTGAGTCCCGTTACCGTACACAGTGAGGCAGTAGTTGATCCGTGATATGACAAGAGATGTAACGAGGACTTTAATGACACCGTCAGGGAGACAATTTCGTGCGTGAGACAGTCCGACCAACAAGCCAGTACACCGACGACTAAGCTCGGACACATGTGCTTCCCAGGACAGGGCGCTGTCAAAGACAACACCCAGATTCCCCACCTGCTCGCATGGCTGCAACACAGAGTCACGAAGAGAGACGCTGAAGTCGGGTACTTTCCGTAAATTTTGTCTGCTGCCAAAAACCATTAGTTGAGTTTTGTTTGCGTTTAGCTTGAGGGCGTGAAGACAGAACCAGTCACTGATTGATGCGAGTGAAGCTTCCATGCGAGAGATAAGCGATCTGAGGTCGTCGGCACGGCCGCTCACTAGAACCTGGGTGTCGTCCGCATATTGGAAAACGGTGGCGTCATCTGCGTATAGCGAGAGGTTGTTCGAAAATATGGTGAAGAGTAACGGTCCCAGGGCAGATCCTTGGAAGACGCCCATATTATTTGGAAGCGGCCGCGACAGTACTCTACCTCCGGCGCCGTTAGATAGGGACACGCTCTGGGTGTGTCCCGTGAGAAAAGCAGAAAACCAAGTGGTCTCGATCCCGTGCATAGCCAGTTTTTGAAGTAGAAGGTCGTGGTCGATGACATCAAAGCATTTGCTCAAATCAAGGAGACACAGCAGTGAAAGTTCTCCCCTATCAGAGGCTGCGAGGATTTGGTCTGTTACGGACAGCAGAGCGGTCTCTGTGGAGTGTCGGGGGCGAAAACCATGCTGCGAGGAGGCAAGGAGATAGTTATTTGAGAGGTAGTGGTAAAGCTGTTGATGTACAAGGCGTTCCACAACCTTCATAATCACGGGGACTAATGAGATTGGTCGAAAGTTGGTGGGATCTGAGGGGCTGCCAGATTTGAAGATTGGGTGGACTGTGGAATGTTTCCAGGAATCGGGGATATCGGAGTTGGTAATACACGTATTGATAATGTAAAGTATGACGCGACCGATGGCTGAGAAGCCGGACTTTAACATTCGGATGCAAATGCCATCAGTCCCACTGGCGCCTGAGTTGCGCATGCCGAAGATAGTGTGACCGAGTTCGCCGAGAGTGACCGCGCGGAGCTGGAAACGACAAGCACCGACCCGGGGGAGGCGAACGTTCAGATCGGTAGTGGTGTTAAGAGACCGGACCTCCGCAGCGATGCGAGGTCCGACAGAGACGAAAAATGAATTTAGTTCATCGGCGGGTAAATTAGGCTGCACACTAGGACCGTCCTTTTTCCCTGCTACAACTGTCCTGATAGACTGCCAGACCTTATTGGGACCCCGCTCGCAGATATTTCTCTGAAGCTCCTCTCGCCGGTCGCGACGCAGCGCGGCCCGAACAGAGCGATTCAGCTCCTTGTAAGCTGTCGACTGACGACCGGACAGTCGTAGCGAGGCGCGGCGCTGGGACATAAGGTTCCGTGTGGCAGCAGAGGCCGGGGGCGCTGTGGGGTTCCGAATGGTAATACGCTTGAGTGGGGCGTGGTCGTCGATAATTGGCAAAAAATTGGACACGAATGCATCCCACTGATCACTAACAGTCGCGGCGGTAAACACAGGCTCCCAGTCGACAAGCTCCAGATCAGAATTAAGGGCAGTGACATCAACACGGTTGAGCGAACGAGCTGAGATGATTGTAGGCTTCGGACGCAGTTTGGGGACATTGACATCTACGCTGATAAATTTATGCGGACTAAAATGACAAAACTCAACACGGGTGTTAGAGAAGAGGTCCACTTTGTTCACCATACACACGTCTAGGAGCGAACCGGAAGTGAAAGTCGGAGTTGTTACTAGCTGGTCTAGGGAGTAGTCCGATAGGAAGCTGCTGAGATGCTGTCGTGCACGAAAGTTGGGTTCTTTCTTCAGCAGGTCACAGTTTATATCACCGCAGATGACGAGCGGGGTCCTAGGGTGATCGATAAGTACTCTTTGTAACTGATTTTCAAGGTCGGCGAAATCGGCACATAAAGCGGTTTCGGAGTAATTATCTCTCAGCTCCGTTAGCATCGCCGACCGTTTGATGCATGGGTCCTTTTCGTACCATGCGATTTTCAGATGCATGGAAACACATTGCTTATGTGAACGAACAGCCCGAGGCCGATAATCTGCGAGAGAAAAAGAAAGGAGTGTTAGTGGCTGTTTGAGCCAGTAAATGTGAAATGTGTCGCAACATTTTACGTGCGAACGCACCTTGCACTAAACATACCTATACACGTCCCTCATGGCATAGGCGGCGGAGCGGGGGAGGCACCGGGGCACCGTGCCCCCCTTGATTTTGCCATTTTAACATTATTCCTATGGGCGTTGCATGGAAATGGAAATGGAAAAAATGGGACAAAAAGTCGGCAGTGCCCCCCCCCCCCTTAATTGAAGATGTTCCGCCGCTACAGCATCATGGCTACAAAATGAGAGAGAGAGAGAGAGAGAGAGAGAGAGAGAGAGAGAGAGAGAGAGAGAGAGAGAGAGAGAGAGAGAGAGAGAGAGAGAGAGAGAGAGAGAGAGAGAGAGAGAGAGAGAAAGAAAGAGAGGGAGAGAGAGAGAGAGGGAGAGAGAGAGGGAGAGAGAGTTGGGGATCGAGGAGGAGAGGGAGGAAGATGGGCGAGAGAAAGAGAGAACCCACAGCGTATCACGAGTGAAGTCTATTGTTGATACTCATACTTCCGCTACCCTGCCAATGTGCCCATCGTTGCGTTTTCGCAACATCGCTGTCTTTCCGATGTGCCCTTCGTTGCGTTCCCGCAACGCGACCGTAGTCATATTTGAAAATAGTCACAAACCCTTTTTGTAGCATGATTTCTTTAAAAAATGCATATCTAAGCTATTGTAGGGACTCTGCAGAATATGTTTACACAATATTCATTACGATATTATTAAGCACTTAGCCTACTTATCTTGGTTTTCGTGACGTCACCGCTCACAAAACCTTCGACTTCACTCTGGGAGCTCTAGGCAGTAACTTACCGGCTGCACAGACTTGTAACTGCGTAGCGTCATGCGCACAACCATGCTACACACGCTGAAAGTTGTCTCATCGGTGAGCCTCTTTTACACACTTCTCAAGCTACGATCACGTCGACCCTTGCTTGCGTTGCGAAAACGCAACGAAGGGCGTAAATGGGTTAAATCTGTTTGCTTCAGTGGACCTGCTTACTGCATGCTCAGTATTACTGGCTTAGGATAACTTCACCAGTTATTTTGTATCGCATTTGATCTAGGCAGTGTCACTCAGCATAACTTGGGCCACCAAAAAGGTAGGCAGATTAGAAGCTTAATGAGGTAGGTGATTTATAAATGACACAACTGGTAATGGCCAAGCTTTGGATGAGGTTTTCTATAATGTATTGCATGTTCAATGCGCATTGCTCGGGGAATACGAGTATAGTATGCAAACTATGCATGTTGCGCCGCTCCTATTTATTTGGCCTGTTCTGCAAACGCAACAGCTTCCCATTGCTTGCATTCAGTTGTGCATAAACCTTCAATTTACAGCTACATTGTCTCCGACAGATAATTGACGGCTCAATCCACGAATCCAGCCACCCTGTGCGCAGCTACGTCACACTTAGTGGCTTCAGGGTCGGCGGCGGCACCGGCGGCATTGGCACCGGCATCACCGGCATCGGCACCGGCATCGGCACCGGCATCGGCGGCGTCACCGGTGGCATCGGTGGCATCGGCGGCGTCACCGGCGGCAGCATCTTCCCCTCGCGGCCGGGCACCACGGCCTTCAGCGGCAGCCCGATCAGCCCAGTGGGCGTGCTATCGTCGCCGGGCGTGACCTCGACAGCGGCCTTCCTGCCGCCGCCGGCCAGCTCGGCCACCGACGGCGACACCTTCCTGCCGCTGGACATCGACGTCCAGGGGCCCGCCTGAGGTCCACCTGATGCCCGCCTGAGGCCCGCCGGACATCGACGTCCAGGGGCCCGCCTGAGGCCCGATGGACATCGACGTCCAGGGGCCCGCCTGAGGCCCGCTGGACATCGACGTCCAGGGGCCCGCCTGAGGCCCGCTGGACATCGACGTCCAGGGGCCCGCCTGAGGTCCGCTGGACATCGACGTCCAGGGGCCCGCCTGAGGTCCACCTGATGCCCGCCTGAGGCCCGATGGACATCGACGTCCAGGGGCCCGCCTGAGGTCCATTTGATGCCCGCCTGAGGTCCGCTGGACATCGACGTCCAGGGGCCCGCCTGAGGCCCGCTGGACATCGACGTCCAGGGGCCCGCCTGAGGCCCGCTGGACATCGACGTCCAGGGGCCCGCCTGAGGTCCACCTGATGCCCGCCTGGGGCCCGCTGGACATCGACGTCCAGGGGCCCGCCTGAGGCCCGCTGGACATCGACGTCCAGGGGCCCGCCTGAGGCCCGATGGACATCGACGTCCAGGGGCCCGCCTGAGGTGCACCTGATGCCCGCCTGAGGCCCGCCGGACATCGACGTCCAGGGGCCCGCCTGAGGTCCACCTGATGCCCGCCTGAGGCCCGATGGACATCGACGTCCAGGGGCCCGCCTGAGGTCCATTTGATGCCCGCCTGAGGTCCGCTGGACATCGACGTCCAGGGGCCCGCCTGAGGCCCGCTGGACATCGACGTCCAGGGGCCCGCCTGAGGCCCGCTGGACATCGACGTCCAGGGGCCCGCCTGAGGTCCACCTGATGCCCGCCTGGGGCCCGCTGGACATCGACGTCCAGGGGCCCGCCTGAGGCCCGCTGGACATCGACGTCCAGGGGCCCGCCTGAGGCCCGATGGACATCGACGTCCAGGGGCCCGCCTGAGGTGCACCTGATGCCCGCCTGAGGCCCGCCGGACATCGACGTCCAGGGGCCCGCCTGAGGTCCACCTGATGCCCGCCTGAGGCCCGCCGGACATCGACGTCCAGGGGCCCGCCTGAGGCCCGCTGGACATCGACGTCCAGGGGCCCGCCTGAGGTCCACCTGATGCCCGCCTGAGGCCCGATGGACATCGACGTCCAGGGGCCCGCCTGAGGTCCATTTGATGCCCGTCTGAGGCCCGCCGGACATCGACGTCCAGGGGCCCGCCTGAGGTCCATTTGATGCCCGCCTGAGGCCCGCTGGACATCGACGTCCAGGGGCCCGCCTGTGGTCCATTTGATGCCCGCCTGAGGCCCGCTGGACATCGACGTCCAGGGGCCGGCCTGAGGCCCACCGGTCGCGGCCGTCTCAGCTCCGACTCGGCGTGAGACTCGGTAGTCACGCGCCGTGTCACCTCGTGAGTTTCTGTGATGATGTTTGTTCGTTTGCTTGCTGTGCGGAAGACGGTGTGGCGCAGCTCTGCATGTATGTGTAACCTCGCACACCAGTAGATAATGGGGCTGGTCGTCAATCAGCTGCCAGCGGGCAGCGTCGTCAAGAGGCGCACCACTCCGCTGGCTCGGATGTTGTTTGCGCTATAACAGTTCGTATTTGTACTACAGTTGATTTTGTAGCAGTTCTCAGCAATACAAAGTAAGCGCTGTGAATGGGATACGTTATGTTTCGTGCATACAAGAGATCGATTTATTATTTAGCTATGCATTTTCACATACAAGGTACCATAACCAATAGAAAACAAGTCTCTAAAGCAAAAATGTTATTCAAACATTCTGGCCGCTCACCAACCCAACAAAGACCGAATGCGACTAAAAAGTGAGCAGCTCGCACTTTTATAAGTATTTCCGAAAGTCCGGGATGGTGTTTGAACACCCACTGCGGTTTTTCACAGATATCTCAAAAATGGCGGCGCGGAGCGCCGCCGTTTTTGGCACACCTGTTTGCGCATCTTTTTCGCATATGTTGTGAAAATTTCAGACCCAGGTTGCCTTAGATCAGGTTACCAGGTCACGCCAAGTGACCTCAGCTCAGAAAAATAAAAATGCTCGCCATAGCTACACCGACTGATCGACTGCCTTGAAAATTTAAGCGACTGATAAGAGCAACAATATCTATAAAATGTTTATCTCGGAATTTTGATATCGGAGACCTAAGCTCAGGTAAATTTTGCGACCTCTCCATTATAAGTCAATGGGAGAAAATTGAAAAGCGTCTGTTTTGCACGAACGCTATTCTAGACACTCTCAAACATCGAGATGTAGGTAAAATGGACACACTGAACCGGAAAATGGCAACAATGACCCCTCGTTATGTCCCCGAGGTCATCTCAGGTCACCAACAGAATCTAACAGTTTTTCGCTAATAACTTCTGATAGAGACGTGCTAGAGCGCTGAAAACGCCTTAGATGTGTTCGGCTCGACGTTGCGGATCGACTGATATGCAACATGACCTTTTCCGGTCTGGTCATGACCTTGACCTGAGGTCAAATTTTCAAGTTGACCTTTCAAGGTCAAATTATAATTCATTCGACGCGTCTCGACGAGAGGAACACGATGGTGGCAAAAGTAATGTCATGACTCTTTTGAGTCAAACGTTATTGCCGAAAAACGTTTTTCGTAAAAACGACTATTTTTGGAGTTTTTGCCCCCTGGAGGCTAAACCGTTGACCTGAGGTCAAATCTGAGAACATTACTCAGAAAGGTCTGTAAAAGGGCTATCGAATGCGTTTTTCTGCGGCGCTGTAGCTCTATCGGTTCCCGAGATAGCCGTTGGCAGTTTCCAAAATGTTGAAATAGTGGACATTTGACCTTTGGTGACCTCTGGTGACCTGACCTTTGACCTGACCCAAAATATGACCGAAGTGTTTTCGTCCTTATTTTGGACGTTCTTTCGATTGCCGCTTACCGCGTGTCGCTACGTGGCCCAGGAGCCGAGTTAGAAGGGGGGGGTGTTCAGACACCCCCCGGCCCGGCGCGGAATCTCCGAGCACCGGCCCGGCGCGGGATATGGACACATAAACAATCGGTGCAACTGCACACATCAGTATACACACAGACACACACAGACATTATACAAACACATATCATTGACCTTGACCTAACTTGACCTGAAATGACCTGAGCAGCAAAAACCTGGTCGGGTAGTGTGACAAAGAGGTTCTAGCTGGCTTGGCACCAGAAAACGGCATCGTCATCGGTATATGATAAGCAGAGCACTTGATATCCAACGGTGACCCAAAACAGCAACATTTTTTAGTTTGACCTGACCTGGAAGGTCAATGACTGACCTGAGAAGGTAAAAATGGGTATCATTGGATTCGTCTCTTCACAAAGAATCTTTTTGGTCTTTACCGCTAAGCTCTATCTCCAACAGGAACGAAATGGCGCGGGGGGTGGCCCCATGTGCGTTCTACAGGATGGGAAAAGGAATAGCAAGAAGAAAGAAAGAAGGAATAGGATGGGAAAATGGCATGCGCGGGCGAGGGTTAAGCAGACCCAATGTCGTTGCATGATAGGACTCAGAATAGACTGTGCTATCAAACTGCTATCTCGGATTTCTCAAAATTTTGACATTTTCGAAAATTATATATAATTAATAAAATTATAAAATTATATTTATTTTTTTTTACTTTTTGACTTTTCGAAAAAAAAAACGGAAGGTATGTGATAGAACACATGCTTATGACTTACTTTAGCAAGTTTTAGCTAAATATCTTCAAAAATGGCCAAGTTATACGCATTATTGCAAAAAATTCACAATTATAAATTTTTCAAATCAATTTTTCAGTACGTTTTTGACATCGGCCCAGTAGGGCGTGTTATACGCAGACCCCAGTGGGGCGCGGGTTAAATTGAACTTTAAATTACCCGTAAAACATGTGTCACAGGCTGCGAATATCAGTTTTGATTTTCGGGGATATGTGCCTACCTGGTTGACCTGACCTTGACCCTGGGCCTGACCTATGCTTGACTAACTCCTACATGGAACTGAAACCCTTGTAGGCCTTATATGAAGGATTTTGCTCCGTTTTGACAGAGTTTATGTCGAGAGGCGCCCATCGTGAGGTCCTGCAGTCCATGCTACTGAAAGCCCGATTTCAGGTGTTTGACCTGACCTTGGCCCGACCTGTGACCTCAAAATTCAACTTTAAAGTACCCATCTGAAGCGTCTCGTCGCGTTCTTACGTTTGCCGCCTCGTGCGTTTCGCTGCGCCTTTTGGTTCTCGAGTTATCGGTGTTTAACGCCCCCCCCCCCCCCACAGCAAAAGGCGGGTGGCAAAATACCCCAGGAACTGCCGGGTTAACCATGCATTGTTGGTGAGGATACAGCGTTCATAAATCATACTCAGGGAGGGGTATACCTAGCGGTGTCAATTAACCCGCGCCCTGGTGGGGTCTGTTTATAACGCGACCTGGTAGGGGGGGGGCTATTTTTTGCCCCCCTCGTGTCTCCGAAACTACTGGACGGATCCGCAAAATTCAAACGGCGTTCGAAAGGCCTGTCAAATTTGTCGAAGGAAACCAAATTTCATTGACCTCGGGGTCACCGATGACGTCACAGGTCAGGTCAAAGATGAAATGTTTCACCGTTCACGGGTCTTCTAGGGAATGCGCCATAACACCGAGGAAAACGCATTTTGTCGAGAATCAGCGGTAGGGCGTCAGTTGCCTAGTAGATATGTTGCTATTAGAGGTCACTGGCAATACCAGGTCAGGTCACAGGTCAGGTCACCAAGGGTCACAGGTCAGGTCACATGAGCCCAACTTTACTAAGGTTGTGTGATACATGTTTTATGGCCAATTTTTCATTTCCAACTCAATGGTGTTGGTTATAAGACTATCAGGTACGGCTTAGGTCACTTTCTGGTGAAGTTCAGTTCAAGGTCAGGTCAAGGTCAGGCCAAAAAAGGTCAAATTTTAAAGTTGATAGTTTTGCATAAAATGGGTATTGATTCGATGCAGCTCGTCACGGGGAGTCTAATGGTGGTCTTTGCTTTGCGCTTCGGGGTCTAGAATTGCTAAAAATTGAGTTTGAAAATTTGACGTCAT